CACTGAAGATGGTTCAGAAATTGCAGTCACCCTTGGCCCTCTAGGAAGTGCCGTATCATCCCCATGAAAAACCAGTTGCTTTCTGAGCCCCGTTCAAAAAGCACTCACTTTGAGTAAAAAACATCGCATTGCTCAAGCACCAATTGCCCAAACCTCCTCTTGTACAATCCACCTCACAGTCTTATGTTCTCAGTGGGGCACCTTCTGCTGTCCCATCATGAATAAGCGTAAGAGCTGCAGCACAATTCATGGCAAGAGTTAACTGCTGTTGGAGTTGAGGTAGACCCTTTTCTTATTATAGTGTAGGTTAAAATCTTTTAGTATTTAAAACTTTTAGTATTTCATTTTAGAATTTTATATATGTCACATATGTATTTTTGTAAGCTGCCTTGAGCCATTGATAATATGTACTTTTATAAATAAATGAATAATGCAAACCAGTTCTGTATAAAGTGCTAAAAGCTGTATGAATTTCTCCATATAAGTTACTGGGAGAGGAGCTTGACTCATAGGAAATTAGACTCAAAGCACAAATAGGTGAGTTACAAAATTTTAAGTATCAGCATTGCTAATACAACTAATTGTTGGACACAGTTGTTGGTGCTGTGATTCTGAGAATGGGAGAACTACATTTAAAAAGGGAGGGAGAGAGGGGAATATTTGACTACCCCATAGCTAGCCTACATTAGACTACCAATGAAAGAGATCACTTTTAACATATGCATTAAGAAGGAGCAAGTAAGGGAGAGTCACACAATGTCTTTAAAATATTCTCTAATGCTGTTATTACAATCGCTATCAGCTCTGAGCCTATGTTTAAGGGTTCATTACTTTTTTAATGTCAACAAGATTAATTATCTGGCCAGCAAAAAAGGGAGATAAAGAGAGAACTTCTGCAATTTAAGAATATGCTGTTCTATTGTCTGAATCACCTTCCCAAAGTATGATTGAAAAAAATTCCCTTGCCAAAAACAGGGCTACGCAGAAGGAGGGTGGGCACTAAATTAAATAGCCCCCATCTCAGCACATCACACCCTTGTGGTGGTGCTGTGGCCCTGCCACATTGCTCGCCTGCACAAGAGCTGGCATTGACAGTGAACCGCAGCAGGGGCCCCACCCTAGCATCAATACTTCCCCAGGCTGCATCAATCCTCTGGCTGCTCAGTCAAAAAGTCACCGGAGAAATACTCTTTAACACTATTGAAAGTTGCAGCTGTTTCTGATAAGTGTGGAGAGATCAAGAAATTGCTAACAGAGCACAAAGTACTTGAAGTCCAGCATCAATAAAAATATATTTAACAAACCCTAAAAGACTAGTATAAAGATTTTATTGACACTTATTTGGGACGACCTCTATAACTCAGTCCTGGTTTCTCTGCTGAGGCATGTTCAATTTTCACCAGTGAAACTGTGCATCAAATCTACAGGGCTACCAAAACGCTTCACTGAGTTATTACAGCTGGCAAGGGCTTCTCTCTTTAAATATGAAAGGAGTGGTCTAAGGCAAAGACAAGCCACTAAAACCAGAGGGCTTCTGTGCAACATACACATAATTTGGAAGAATTCTGGCATGAAACACCACATTTCTCCATTTGGATTTCACCTGAATTTGCTTTTTAGTACAGACTCTACTTCTGCCTTTGTAGTATGTAGCTATCTATTTCTGTCGTGTGTTTCACTTTGAAAGTAAAACTTCCAGCCCTGCAATCATCCATCCATAACACCTGCCAGGAGGATGTGACAGGTGGCTATTTTAAGAAGGGCCTTTCCAACACTAGTGTCTCAATTGGGCAAGACTCACCCGGCATGTATGTCATGAATTCTTCAGCCAAGGTGAGGACTCATTCACTCAGAATAAACGGAGTCCTTTTTAATATTGTTCTTGAACTACTGTTGCCCTATTTTAGTTATTTTGCTTGGGTTTACTCTGTGACTACTTTAAATTCCATGTTAAATCATTTAGTTATATATTTTTTTATATTTTAAGGTTTGGATCCAGTCTTCTTCTTCTTCCAGCAATGGGAATGTTACTGAGAAGACTTCCACTCAGAATGTTCATATTTAGCAGACCTATGGAGATAAAATGTTCACCCATTCCCCCTCTTTTGACAGCCTACAATGCTACTTCCGTGCCTGTTCAAAAATCCCTTTGTAAGGTAGTTAGAGCAGTACCTGCCTGATTTTGCTGTATGCTAGACTGGAAAATTGAAAAACATCCTGAAAGAAAGCAGTGGCAAAATACTTCCATACTGTCAAACAAAAGCAAACAATCCTATATGGACATCTCTATGAAGACACCAGGAGCTCATGAAAGCTTATACCTTTTAACAAAATGTATTAAGGGGAAAAGATGCTACCAGACTCCTCCTGATTTTTTGGGTATCATAGACTAATACAACTCTGTTTCTACAACCTCACTTTTATGCCTTGCACAGCCATGCTACTTAATAGTGTTTGCCCTCTGAGCAATGCTACAGAAAAGTCACTTTCTAGCTCAGCAATGCATCCGTCCCAAGATGTTAGGTACAGTAATCCACCCCAGAAACGTTTTACGCTGATTGGTCTCTATTTCTTTGGGGTTAGCAGCATCTCCTGTTATTTTCAGTAGAATTCCCACTGACAAGGCCATCCTGCCAGAAGTTCTCTCCTTTAAAGCACAGCATTGCATTTTTAGTATCATCCATCACTGTAGTCTGCATGTTCTCAGTTGTATACTCTGTCACAGACTGCTGCCAGCAGAAAAAAAATAAATTATTTTACCTGTAACAGAACAGAGGGGGAAACTTGATATGGTGATGCCATTTCCAGTGGGGCCCTGGTGGCATGCACAATATTTAGTCCCATACTGGGCATAAGGAGATCATTTAAAAAGCAAAGCAAAATATTCTAAATGGTTCATTTCAAAATTCTCACAGTGAAATAGTAAAGAGCACAAATGAATGAATGAAATGAAAAAAAAAATAGATAAGCTGTCTGTGAAACTAAAAGAAAGGGGCAAGGGATAATAGATCTGAATGAAGGTGATCTTGTCTTGTGGAATGGAGTGATGAGACTATGCAAGGAAGTGAAAGGGTAGATCTAATGATAAAGGAAAGACTAAAATGTATGTCTGAAAGAATGAATTAATGTCATCTAGGTAGTTATGATGTAAGAATTCATTGGTATGAAAGTTGTATGTCATACATACAATGAATGATATATGTTATACACCAGTGAATGGTGATAAGGGAAGATGATTTGGGGAATATTCTGAATGAATGTGATCAAGGAAAAATTAATTTTGTTAGATGACATGAATGGATGTGTGGGAACAAGATGAGAGAGTACAAAAAGGTAATTGGGCCATTCAGAGACCCAAGAATGAATACAAGCAGTGACTGTCTGGTGATCATTTCCTCAGCAAAAAGATCAGTTTGTTTTGAATACATCATTTCAGGTTTCATATGTGCACATGAAAACAACTGGATATACAGTAATCTGAAACAGTTCCTCCGAGGGCATAGGAGACTGCAGAAGAGAAGGAAGGATCAGTTAAAATCCCCTCTCCTTTTCCTCTGGTGGACATCCCATCTGTGAAGTTTTGCTCATGGGGAGTATGGTTTCTACCAGCTTAAAAAGTAACGCTTTTTTTACAGTATTGACAGAATACACTCACACACTCACAATACATTATAATATATGTACTCTGTGTCAGGATTCAGACCTACTCCTACAAAATTTGAGGTATTTCAAGGTGTGTCAGGTATTTGAAGAGGTTGGTCTTGAATCTATCAAGGTTGATATATTACAACCTTGCCTTCCATCCTGCTTCCCTTTATCTGCAACCTCCTCCACCCATCCTTCTGGAATGTGATATGGCATTTCCTTTTTTTTTTTTTTAATATAAGAACTTTATTAAGTTATAAAAAGCATAAAGATAAAAGCAAACAAGAACTAATAACCAAGGAGAAAAGTAGAGAACAAGAGAGTTAGAAATAAAGAATACAAAAGTGATGGAAAGGAAAGAAAAGGGAAGAAAGGAAAAATTACAAAAAGAATAGCTCCCAACTTCTTATACTGCAACTATTGATAAATCATATAATAATCTCTTACTCTAAAACTACATCTTAACACACATATTTTGTATAACCTATTCATTTAACTAATCATCAAATCCATATATCATAATAATGGAATGCGATATGGCATTTCCAAAGTATTGCCATTGTAGATTGTGTGAAATTTAATCCCATTTCTCAGCGTAAAAATCCATTATTTGATTGGCATGTAGCTCTAGCATTAAACTTAAAACACTCACTGGTATTGTTTTTAATAATTTATCTATTCTGTACCACTGGAGGTGGAGAGGAATTGCCTTTGGGTTCGTAGTCCTCTTTTTATGTAAATAAAACCTGCTCACGTCGATACCCAAAGGCAGTGAACTGTCTGGCTGTGGACTTTAATAGCTGAATGGCATAACTGGAAGAGACCTTGTATATGGTGACCTTGAGAGCACAGAGGTTGCCTTACTGGTACTGCACTTTCAGACTAAAATAATTCGGTGAGAGAAGCAGTGTTTTGATTATATCATGCTTTCCATCTTTTCCTTCTTTTTGACACTATCCGATAATTAAATAATAAAGTATATAAACCATTTTTCTAAACCAACATTTGCCAGCTATCAATATGTGGCGTTTGCATTCTTCTACGCCACCTTCAATCTACAGCTTTGTTTATCTCAAAGAAAAGAGCAAACAGAAAAGCTTTGCACAGCTTCAAGAGAAATATATATGCAAACCATGTAGAGTTTATAGTAAATTATAACCCCGAAGTTGTGGCTTAGATTTTCAACTTTGGGGGATGTAAATCAGTTATATGTCTTGATCATTGTTCTACAATGAGACTTTTGACAGGGGTTTGGGTGGTGATTATTTATTTAAGGATATAATTACCTTGCAATAGGCATAATTTAATATTCATACATATGTAAGAAAATTGCTTAACAGAGAAGCATTTCAGATGTATTTATGACACTTGCAAAATCATTATAATGAACACTATTGATAAATTATGTCTGATAAATTATATCCCAAAGATGGGTTGCACCTTTTCATACATTTTGGACTATATATCAGATCTGTGTTTGCTTCGTTGTTACACGGTGGGAGTTTTGGCTGGTATTTGAGCAGTTGTTGTACCTTCGGGTGCAATAGCCTTTCAAAACAGAACATTTCCAATATTTGCGCACATTTCAGGAAATAGCTTACCAGAGAAAAATCTCATATTTTTTCATAGCCAAGTGGCTGCTCTTACAACAACACCTTTGCAATCTTTGTAAAAATTCATGCGGGCATCATAGTTCTCAAATTATGCATGTGTCTTCTAATAAAGGAAAAGCGTATTCCTAAAAAGTGAAATAATCATCAGTTCTAAGTGAAAATGGGACACAGACAGAGCAAGAGCCTTGCATTATAAGATGCCTTCCAGAAGATCAGGGCTGCGATGTCCCCATTACAACAACTTTAGGAGGCCTTCATTTTACCTGTACAGATTTTTGTCGATATTGGTACTGAGCTTCTCCTTTTTCAAATTGGTTCTTCACGCTTGCCAAACCTCCAGGTATTCTGCATGCCTCTGATTCCTCCAGAGCCTGTGGGGGAAACAACAAAGTAAAGCTGTTTATTTACTATCAAAAATAAGCCCTTAAAAAACAGCAACTGACTACTTAAGGTGAGTTTTTGTTTGTTTTGTCTTGTTTTGTGCTTTTGAGTCAGCGTTGACAGCTGGTGAATGCCTGGGCAAGTCCCTGCAGTTTTCTTGGCAGGATTTCAGAAGTGGTTTGCCATTGCCTGCTTCCTAGGGCTGAGAGAGAATGACTGGCCCAAGGTCACCCAGCTGACTTCGTGCCTCAGACTGGACTGAAACTCATGGTTTCCCAGTTCCTAGCCTGGTGCCTTCACCACTGCACCGAACTGGCTCTCTCTTAGGTGTTAAGGAGCTTTAATATTCCATAGCAATTCTGAGTTCAACTGGTTGTACTCCCAGGGAAAGTGGGTACAGGTGGTCCTTGTTTAATGACCACTAATTTAGTGACAATTCAAACTTACAATGATCAATAGTTACGACTGCTCCTCAAAGTTCTGAGTGACACAGCACCCCCACAGTCACATGATCATGATCTGGGCACATGGCAACTGGCCCATATTTCTGACCATCACAGTATCCCGCAGTCATGTGATTGTGATTTCCAACCTGTCCTGCCAGCTTCCCACAAGCAAAGTCAATGGGGAACTGGCAGAAAGTCAGAAGTCGCCATCACATGAGGTCCTCACTTAGTGACCCACATGGTCCTTAACAATGGTAACCAGGGACTGCTGGGATTGCCGTTGCTAAGCAGCACAATCACATGATGTTGCGCTTTATGACCACATTGCTTAGCGATGGAAATTCTGGTCCCAATTACTGTTGTTAACCAAGGAGTACCTGTTCATAACTAGGAATTACTTAATTATATATTTTATTTCTGCCTATTCTTACAAATTATGATGCTTCATTTAAAATATATATATTTTCTGTTCCAAGAAACTAAGAAACATATTAAGTATTAAAAGTATCTGAAAGGAAAAATGCAAAGTATCCAGTGTGCAATGCTCTGAATTGTTTTTAACTTGTCTTGCTTTACATATAAAGTATATTTTGGCATTGGTTCATTCCATTCCTGCAGCAATCCAGCCATGTACAGACCTTAATAAGTCATGCCAACATTGTAAAGCAAACTCATGAAAATAATGTCAGCAAAATACTTAAAATATGAATGCCTTATACATTATCCAGATTTAAGCAGAAGCTTACAGTGATATTATTATTATTTCATTGATTTAAAAGATTAAAGAAGTACTAACAATCAGTAGCCTTCAGCATCTTCTAATCCAGTGTTTCTTCAAGACCATTAACTGCTTTATACCATCAGGTGCTCAGAGACTAGGAAGAGATTCCACTGTTATACAACTGTGAATTAATCTCTTTTCAAAACCAACACAGGCAGTCTCAGAGGCCTCTTCTATAATGCTGAGGATTAGTGTAACAATGTGGACTGCACTTTTGTGTTTTAGAAAAAAAAAAATCATATGCTGACACTGTGAACCTCACATGATTTAAAAGCCTAGGTTTGGTAACAAATTAGAGACTGGGAATCAGGCAAGAACATTAAAAGCCTCCCTCTGGATCTTCTCTACCTGGTCCACAGTGCTACTTGCTCCTGACAACCTCAGTGGTGACTAATCATAATCTTTTAGACTTTTCCCATTGCCTATTCATCTTACTTTGCTTCCTTCAACTTGAATGGAGTGCTGTTATTTTTCATACTTTTAAGAGGGGGTAAAAGAGTGAACCATCAGATTGTGTCTGTGTGCACGCGCGCGCTGGCACCTGCCTTCAAGTCAGTTTTTGACTCCTGGCAACTGCCTGGACTAGGCCCTGAAGTTTTCTTGATGGAATTTTCAGAGGTGGTTTGCCATCGCCTCCTTCCTAGAGCTGAGAGAGAGTGACTGGCCCAAAGTTACCCAGCTGGCTTCATGCCGAAGGCAGGACCAGAACTCACTATGTCCTGGTTTCTAGCCTGATGCCCTAACCACTACCCCAAACTGGCTCTCAGGTACCTCCACAGTAATAATTAGCCACCAGTACTGCTCTCCATGTTTCCCTCTAGTTGTGCTTTGCCTCTGTGTGGCCATGTTTGAGTAAGATCTCAATGCCCTCTTTCCTGTTATTGCAGCTGGGCTGCAAAAGAGGGGGCTGTCCTCAAGGGCACAGCAAGGTTTGGCCCACCGGCCAAAAGCAATCCTTCAGTTTTGCTTTTGTGGCCCCAGACCACCCCTGGAAGGAGTGAGGTCAAACTCTTCAAGACATTTATTTGGATGGGTTGGAGGGTTTGTAAGGGACAAAATGGATCCCTAGAACCTTGCAGGGGATTAAGCTTTTTCACATTGGAAACCAGTTTCAATCAAAGTCCTGGTTGTCAGGGCTTCTGGTTGTCCAGAGCTACCTTCTCTCAATCATATCTGTCTGTTCAATAAGATTAAACAGGGCCTGTTTGCCCCAAGTACCTTCTCTCAGGGACCACAAAACTCTGTTTTTCCAGTTATAGCACCCCTTTCTCTGGAACAGCTTGGCACAGACATTGAAACAGCCCCTTCCCTCCTGACTTTTAGGAAGTCCATTAAAATATGGCTGTTTCAACAGCCCCAAGTACTGGAATGTTATGAAGGTGAGGAATGGTGTTTTGATTTGAGGCTAGATTGTGCTATTCCCCCCTTTTTTCCTTTCATATGGATTTACTGGACTGTTAGTGCTTATATTGTTAATTGAGAACTAGCTTGGTGTAGAGGTTAAAGCATCAGGCTAAAAACTGGGAGACTGTGAGTTATAGTCCTGCCTTAGGCATGAAGCCAGCTGGGGGACCTTGGCCTAGTGTCCGAAAACCTTCCAAAAACCTTCACCAAGAAACTGCAGGGACTAGTCCAGGTAGTCACCAGGAGTCAACACTGACTCGAAGATGCATGCGCGCGCGCACACACACACACACACAATTGTTAATGAATTGTTTTAATCTGAATTATGAAGAATGAGAACGATATGCCACTCAGAGCTGGCTTCATTTGGAGTGGCTCATAAGCCTTGTAAAATACCATAAATAAATACAGTAGAAATGGAAGCTACTTGCTGTAACCGTACTAGTTAAAAAGGTTACCTACAGCAGCTGTCATTGCAAGAGGAACAATCCTTCAGCAGCCTAAAGTGGCTGTGCTGTCAATGCAGCAGCTGCTTAGGGCAGGAAGATGGAATTGTTCTTTGACATTTTTAGGAAAAACACGCCCCCCTCTTTGAGAAGAGTCCTTCTACTGAGTCAACCTCTGTTTTCCCTCTAAGCTGGGACGTTCCAGGAAATGGTTGGCTGGTTATGACAAGGGATGGTCACCTTTTACAACCTTCGCCATCAAAGGTAAGTTAAGGCAGAAAAAGGTGCATGGATAGAACAGCGTGCCAAGAGATCATCATGATCTGATTGCTCAGAGAGAAAACATAAATATGAAAATTACTAATCATCAAGTCATATTTTTGACCTCATCTAACTATGCTTGCCGTTTCATGACTGATGAATATTCAATTATACTGAATTCAGCATTTTATCTGGGATTGTGTTATTGGGCATGCATACTCAGCTTGGGACACACTACACACAAAGAAGTGCTATTTCTGAAGAAAAGCAGGTGGTGAGAAAATGCTTTCCCCGCTGAGCAATTTTCTTCTCCAAACATTTATATAACAGTTGCAATTGGGAGAACTGGAATAGAAAAATAACCCCCACCGTTTGCTCCTCCAACCAAAATAGCTCCTCCTAAGCTGCATTGCATGTAAAATAGAGTTTGCACGTAAATATATACATTCCTTTTGTTTCATATACACTATTGTTCAAGTGTGGTGGGTGAATGTGTATTTCACTCTTCCCACGCCGGTGCGAAAGATCTATACACGTGCTGCTATCATTCTTGTAGTTTAAAGCTGTGAAAAACAGATAAACACACATATTGCAAATCTTCCACTGTGCTTATTGGCTTCTGGGAAAACAAGGGAATATACCTGCAGAATGAATCGAGGGATTTTGTGGAACATGTTTTGGGCAAATATGAGTTCACGCAGGGACTTTGGAGCTCTGAATTTGGGAAACTATCTCAAAAACATATTGGGAAAACAAGTTCTAGAAAACGAAGTAGAAACATGCTTTCCCACACCCCTTTCCCTCAAAAACTGTGATTGGATTGAGCGTGAGGAAGCAGATCTGATGTGTGTCATGAGATCCAGGTAGGTGATGTTTTGCCTCATCTCTGTCCACCTAGTTTTCCAGTGCAGCGTCAAGCCAGGTTGAGAGGCAGGCTGAGAATTACTGGGGTTCACAGAAATATGACTTCATTCAACAGAAACCCTCTTTCAACTGGCACAGGCTACCTTTCTGCCACTGGATTAACAGGACCCTCCAAGGACACTTTGGACATACCATCCAGCCTTCTGCCAAATAGCCTGACTGAAGTACTCTCAGATGTGTTGTTGGCTCTCCTAGTAGAAACAGTCTGCAGTTTCACCGTTTTATAACAGACCTCCCTGTGTATATGGACCTATGCAGAAGATAAGGCATGCCCTTCATTTATTTCTTGCTGTGGCATGTGGACTGGTGGTAGCCCAGGTATTAGAGTTGCTTTGCTGTCACCATTATCAGACCACCACCTGATGAATTTTAGTCCCACAGCTTTATTTCCTGTCTTTCAAGTAGACTGATTAGGATGATCTACCCTCAGATTCTCATAGACTCTAAAGGAATTTGTAGAAGCCAAAGCTGGTGATTCTGTTGAGGCCCTTGTTAACCTACTAAATGAGGAAATAGAATGGACCATTGATACAATAACCCTTTGTGACCCCCACTGCATCTCTGAATAACCATCCAATTACTCTTATGTCATTCTGGGACAAATGATAGTTACTGTCATTTGTCCCAGAAACTCAAAGTTGGAGTCCTTAAAGACCTCCTGTGACAGATTTTTGGAGGCACTTTGAGGATAAACTCACACACCTTCATATCACTTTTGAATGTTGCCT